CCAAAACATCGGGCTGTTTGAATACGTATGCGTTGTACTCAGTGATTTGCAAGATTCAACAAAACTTTTTGAAAGGGCTTCCTTATAGGTACACTATTCTATTCACAGACGCCAATATCAATCTAGCACTCCATTGGCAAAGCCGGACTAAATCTAAAACTCAAACCTAAGGCAGCAGCGTCTTTTGCTTTTGAGCCGTCGGCTCTCCGGAGCTCAAAAAGTGTTTCCCAAAAATGAACTATTCGACACTTGTTAAGTTCCAGGCAATCGTTCTCCCTCCATATAGAATTGAAATGATGATTGAATACACTTGGCCTATGCAAGATCTCCCAAAAACGGCCGATATACAAGCCAGCTCCAGTTACGTCCCACACCCACGAGAGGTGGGACATGATGGTATCGGTACAGGAATTGATCCGAGGACCATTCGTGTGATAGCATGCCGCTTGACCCTACCCCATCTCAGTTTTCACAGCTTCATGGTGGAGCAATGGCTCCCTGATTACAATGGCAAAGCATTGTTCTGATTCCCCTGAACTCAACCTCCATAGAGATTCTGAACTTTTGGTTCCTCTATGAGGTCCTTACTTTTCCTTATCACAACTTTATTGCTCGAATGTTGTTGCCTCTGCAGTAACCACTGCATCAGCTCCAGTCGTGGACTGTCTCAAAGAACTTACAGTTCCTCTCCTACTTAGGTGTGCCTAGGAGCCTGTAAGACTCCAACTATCAGAATAAGGGGCTTATAGGCAGCTAATAATGTTGGAGAACTCCAACACTATTAGCTGTCTATAAGCCGTCAATGAATGTAGAATGTGTCATAATGAAATATGACCTTTTCCGGGAAAGCGTTAGTCTTAGTCGTTAATCTTTACAAATTGGGCGATAATGCAGAAAAGGACGAGCATCGATCCGATGGCAGCAGCAGTGGTCACCCCCGAATAAAGGGGCAAAAAAATGGACGGCGACGCTAAAGAGGGCATTCAGCAGACTCTCTTGCTCTTGCAGTCCCCAACCTCCGCCCCGCCCTGCTCCTTTCCCCAGAGAGTTGGACAACACGCTTTTCGTCGAGATGTCCGCCAAGAATTAAAAAAATGCATCCGCCAAAAGGCGGAATGTGACTAGAGAACTGATTCTGTGGATGGTTACACATTAGTAAAGAATAGAACACAATAACTGGTAGTAAACGATGGTAATGAATCATGAGTAGTGAAGAATAGTGTAGACTCCCAAGGATGTTAGCTAAGAGAGCCCTTGAAAGACTAGTAAAAGAGCAGAGCTGATGATTAACATAATCTAATCAATTCTCATTGGAAGTCAACTATCGCGGTGCAAAGTGTCGGCTTCGGACTTGAACGCTTCCACTAACAGCGGCCAATTTGCTGGCAATGAGCTATGTTTTCCCTTTACCTCTACGATTTGGCCCTTTACTGAAGCATGAGAACAGAACCGCCCTTAAATGACAAAGTCATCGTACCCATCCCACCGCTATTATGATTCTGGATGGATTCCGGATACAACTCCTTCCCCAGAGATTCCAATAACAAACCGGATAACGACGTGATATTCATTCCCAGTACTTTTGGAAAATAAAAAATGCAACCTCAAATATGATTTGTCCAATCAAACGCTGCTAATATCAAATGCTACCGACCCTGACCATTTATGGGTTAAGCCATAAGTGAACAGACCAGTACAACCGACCGCCATAGAATATCCTACCAGAGACCACAGACCTCATTATTTTTGGGATAAGCCATGAATGAGCCTGCCAATAAATCTGCATCAAAGGTGTACGCATTACCAACAAATACCGGCTCTGTGTTCCTCATGAACTTGGCGCAAACTTTAGAAAGACTTCCATGGAGGCAGAAATAGATGGAAATAAAAAAGGGCTCTCTTCAGGAGTAATTAAGATGAAAAGGATGCGGAATGGAAGTTTAGTGTTACTTGCAGCCTAAGGGAGTGCATAGCATAATTTACATCGGTCTCTCGTGCACGTTGTCGGTTGCATAATGATGTAACGACTAATTGGAGAACTCGGTGTCAGCCCTCGCTTTCCCACTTCTCAAAATCTATGAGAATCAAAAAAAAAACAACAACAAAAGGCTAGAGTACAGTGTAGTGGATTCTAGACTCGTGTACCGTTGTAGAGATCGCAGGATCGACTCTCTTAGGCTATGCTAACCTCCCGATTTGACAATCGGAAAATATACAAATATTTACAATGGACAATTATTCTCGGAACAAGGTTCAATGTCTTTGCTTTCTTTGAGTGGGATTGTATGTGTATTCTTATAATATGCACTAATATCTACTAGTGATACCCACTGATACACACAAATAAAAAACTGTAAGTACCATTAATCCCTGATATTTATCTATTTTACTAAAATCTACTAATAACTATTATAATACCCACTAATACTTACAAATACCTAAATATATAGCCATTAATATCTGATATCAAATATTTGTCCAACACTTCAGTACTTTCCAAAAATGTGAGGCAACATCGTCAAATAGCTCAAAAATAATAGCAACTTCTAGTAACACCCAATATTACTTTCGAGTAACTAACTAATATTGACAGCCATTAATAACGAATATTTGACATCTGTTTAATTTTTCGTAAATGCGGATGCGCGGCGCAATCTAATCAAATGGCTCACTTCTAATACTAATAACCACCGATGTCCACTGATACTAATAAATTACTAAATATCCTAATACTAATACCTAATATTCCCCCAATATCTTAATACCTCTGAAATATTTGTGGTTTAATGCAATGGCATGGCTCAATTCTCATAACATCGCACCACCTTTTATCCCCGAATACCCCAAATAGAGAATGCTCGTAGGAAGCGACCAAAAATCTTGGAGCCATAAACAAAAGACGAATGATGACGATGACTGGTAGTGATCTGACTGTAATCGGACTCGTAAATTGCTGCCAAGCTTATGATTTGTACCATAACTCAAGTTGAACCACCATTTTAGGGACAATTACAGTTATTTCAGACAAATGCCATAAATCAGTTTATTGTGGACATGCGCTCTTTCAAACGGCTGTCATTGTTCATTCGAATAAGAGCTATTCAACAGAGATGCTAGTCAGCTATGGTATTCTGAAGGCTATTTCTGTCCCCTTCTACTAAAACAATAAAATGACTCGAGGGATGGCTACGATTGAGAAGAAGAGGCATTGGATAGGCACAGTGCTCTTGGTTGCGCCGTGCATCGACTTCCAATTAGAACTTCAGAAACATCTTTCTGTTCATACCAGGCCTTGACTCAGGGGATTACACGACGTAAGCCAAGTAGCTACAGTTGCGCAAGCAGATACTTGGTAGCAGCGCTCTAAGGTCTGTGAATCTGAGCTGAGATTGAGGAGAGGACTTACATTAGCGCACTTGCCCAGACGCGACTTCCTTGTATTATACATATAGAAACAGCTACTAAATTACCGAAACTAAGCATTCCATATTGTTCTCTGTCCTTTTCCCATAATCGCCTTCAGTGTTTTGCGTTATTAGGTTTGGGAGGAACGTTTGATTTCCACATTTATCGGGCCTCTGAATGAATAAGTAAATTATGGGACGAGCCTGACAAGGGTAGAGTTTCAGACCATCTAGCTATTCCCACAAAGGAGCGGACTCTTTGGCTTAGCAAGTTCTGCCCCACATACTGAGAGGTTCCTACGCGATAGCTCTGTTAACGGTACTTCTTCCACGACTTTAGATTGAAGACTTTTGAGATTTCTAGAAATCAAAGTTTAGTAGTTGGTGCTCTCGTGCCAGCGAAATTAAGCTGAATAGGAAAACAGTATTCACTTGCTCTGACGCAAGTCTCGCGAACAAACATATGTATACAGCTACTAAGTTACCGTCAGTAAACATTCAAGTTGCTCTTTGTTCTTCGTAGCGCATCGCCAAACATTACCACTTCGTAAATGCGAGGGTTCATAGATGGGAAGGGTTCGATGAAGACTTTTTCGATTAATTCTGACAAGTGCGCTACCTAACTGATCATCCAGTCCGGCTACACTTTTGAAAGTAATTAATGAAAGCAGAAAAACAAGGAAAAGGGCGAAGAAAGAAGCACTGACCTGTACACCAGCGGGCCACCGCTAGCCATTGCATAGGTTAGACACCATTCAAGCTGCCACTACGATTCTGAATGGAAGTCGAATGCAGGGCGCAGTCCACAGAGGAGATCGCTTGAAGCCAAAGACTTCGTCCTCTATTCTCAGCTGCAAAAGCAAAATCTAATGGGAGACGGCTTACACGCATTTTTAATTGGCTTTTTTGTATTATTCTAATTTGTTTCAATTTTCCTATGAAGGGTGATCCAGTTGCTACACGAAGCTCTGGTGCAGCGAAGGAAAGGAGAAGTGGTAGGCTCTGTTCTCCTATCTGCAGTTTCGCCCTAAGTTTTTTTTTCAAGTACCATCTTTCATCTATGATTCGACAATTTGATGCTGTATTCATTACCTTGACTGTTAGGGAGTACCTTAACCAATAGAGTAAAGGCAAAATGTTGCGGTGCGCTACACAGAAAGTGATGATGGAATATTCCACTGAATGAGAGCATCTCAATTCCACGAAAACATCCTTTCTGCGAACTCATTCCACTCGAGTTATTTCCGCAAAAAACTACATTCACTAGTTACCAAGTTATCCGCGCCAATTTCCATAACTTCACGGGAAGTTGCTTGGCTTGCGTCTCTTGCAAAATGGAAGAGTAACCTCGGAACTTTGGCTAGATTTCCAGATTTTGCATTTACAAGACTAATAAGTAGTGCAAATGGTTTATGAATACATTTTTTCATATATTCAGAGAATTTCTATATCAACCTGAGATTACAAAAAGGCTGAAGGTCCAACTAGCGCAAAAAAAATCAGATACCATTCATTTATATCAGAACAATATATGCAAACAACAGTAAAAAATAAGGCAGTATATAACAACACTGAGATTTCCAAATAGATCTACAACTATTTCTCTGAGCATGTAGAGCTTTTCAAAATATTCAACCTAGCCACAATGGCGTTCTCGGCCTGCTCGCTGTCTATCCTTTTCTTTGACGAATCCACCAAGAGATTTCTGAGTTTCGTTACTGACTTTGCATGCCCGGTCGAGGCTTTCTGGACGAGTTTCTCGTTTTTAGCCAAAACTTCCTCCATCATTTTGTTTATGGTGGCTTCGTCTGTTATTCTCCACAGATTGTTTTCGTTGAAGAGCTGACAACATTCAATTAATCGACGTCTTTTGTTAAATACGAGGCTACAAATTGAATCGGCTCTACCTGCTCTGCGTCCCCGATTTTGGTGAGAAACGCTCTCAAAGTCTCAAGTGCTCGAAGCTTTGTAATCCGTCCCTGGGCGTGGAATTCGACGATTGTCATGAATTGGTTCGCGAATTCGGGACTAAAAGTGGACAAGCGTAGAAAATAACAGACTTGACGCCCAGCAAAAGAAGATTATCTGTATTTTACTTCAAGCTGCACATAAGGTAACGGCAAACGGCGCGGTGTCACATGCACGATCAAGGTATCAAACTCAGCTCATGAGCCGAGCAGGCCTTACATATTTAGTACCGTTCTAAAAGGACAGAGTATGGAGGATAAAGGAGTAAGTGCACGGCCCTCATCAACTGTTCCCGCCCGTGTACAGACTGAGTGGACCTTCAAGCACTTCTATGATACCCAATAGAAGTCGAATGCATGGGCGCATTTCAGATCCGGTATCGATCGAAACCATCGTTGTAGGCTGATACCAGTTAATCAACAACGAATGGTCGAATGGTTTCAAGCAACTTTATTCCTACTTACGGTTCGAACTTACGCCTATGCAGACACTTCTGTCCTTTACAGTAGACCAATTCTAAGAGATAATGGGTTTTAACGAGATTTTTTCTCTCGAATTCGACGTGAATCTTGTAATACTCGAACATTTACTTGATGAAATAACTCTAACATTTACCTACCCATGTAGTAAAAGCATCAAGTGTGTTCTCCACTACATTAATTGGAATATTTTAATGTGGGCAAAAACTACTATTTCTGGGTTCGGGAAGGGACCTGCAGCGATACAACACTTGCTTGAGTAGGACTAGGCGCTGCGACCACCATGGGACGGGATTCTGCGGTAAGTAGTCTTTGCTGACATGTGGTCCATCATTGAATGATGAAGGGACGAATCACATTGTCTAGGCCGGTACGCAAACTCGGATCGCGAACTTCCCTGACGACATTCTGATCTGTTGCACTATTGAGACCAAGAGTTTCCATAATTTTCATAAGTATATTCACCACAGCTACTCAGAAGCATCACATTTCTTATTTCTGTCAGCATCATTCTTTCTATTCACATTACTTGTTACTCTTGTTCGGTTCATTATCGATATCGGCTAAGCCGCTCATCAGTGATAAGTAAAGCAACTCCAGTTTTTGTCTACCGAGAAGAAAAAGTTAGTCTGGCTAGAATTTTAACTGAGAACTTGCGTTTCGCCCTATGACATGATCCTTTCAATATTTTCAAAACACAGATCGAATACGCGGTGCACCACAAAAAAATCAAGCTTGACCTTTTAATCTTTCATCCTTCTCACAATTGTTTATTGTTCTCCTACTGAACTCATACCATTTTCAGCTACACATAAGCATTTATGGTACTCCTATAAGCCAAAATCGGCTGTATTCGAAGTTACTCACTCTTCTGGAGGATACACTGCTTTGCTCCTTAGCATCATCATCTTTAGTTCGTTCATCCATGTTACAAATTCGCTGGCTCCACAATTTTTCAATCGATCAGCGCAAAGGTTCACAAATCGAGATAAATCGGTACTTTCCTGCAATGAAAAGACAAGAATTTCTAAAGTTATTTTCTAATTCAAAACTTTCCCCACTACTAACCTCATGGTTGCGGTTGTAAAAATCATAAAGGACTTACAGCATAATAAACTGCCCGTCTCGGTTCAAAGCCCAACTGCTGGTATTTCACGTAGCTGGGCTCGGAAGACACTGACGCTATGCATTCATCCACCCACTCAGGCCGAATCTGGACAAAATTATAAACTTATTTACTAGATGCAACTCATTTGTATAATTGAAGACCTATAAATTAAAAACGTTTCTCGATGAAAGCATAACTGCAATTCCAATTAAGTTTGCTTACTTTCAGAAAAGGTAGATTAGGCTCAGGAATGAATCGATAGTCAGTGATCTCCTCTTTGTCTCGCATGGATACGGTGCGTCTAAAGGAATAGATGACTTCCATAATCAAAACTAACTCGGTAGATAGTGAATCGAAAACTGAGAGGCTCCACCTAATACTCAGAAGTTAAATTGAAATGGGTTTTTTATCAGGGGTAACGAGCACCCCGCCTTCCTTCTATGAATGGAACTTCCTGATAAGAGATGTTAGATACATAAAATAAAAGAAAATTCCAAAATGGAATTAAAACATGTTCGGTAATGAAGAACGTTCCCCTAAATTGTAATATGACTCTCAACAACCCATGAAAAGAAGGAAGAAGGGGAGAAGAGGGAACACAGCTACAAGTTTTCTACCCTTCCTTCTCCTACTCTTTCATGAAACTTATCAATCAATCCTGTAAGTGTGAGGACATGCTGAGCGTCAGCATGGTAATCGACATTCCGACCAGATATATGAACGGATAACCTCGCCCTTGCCCTTTCAAACTCACTACAATCTTTATCATAACGACAGCTAGTTCGACATCTCCTTCTGAAGCCAGTTCATGAGAAGCAGCGCTTTTTTCTTCAGGCTTTCTCCCCAGCCCCAGTTTTTAATCTCTATAACTTCTCCTAGAACTAGCATGCTTTCTAACTTACCCGTGCTCATCACATGTCCTCGTTTCGTTAATCACTCGGTTTCCACTCGAAATCACTTCATACTGCCGGTTGATTTCAAAATTTATTGCCGTATGAAGATGTCGTAAGCTGTTGATATTTTTAACCTTGAAGAAAACTACTAAAACCTCCCAATAATCGCGGGTATGAATATTTACGAAAACTGATCAAAACCAAACCAACACCTCAGTTCTGACTCCTTTGTTTCCATCGTGTGACAACGACACGTTTGCGTCAACTCGCAGATGACCTTCTGCAAAAACGTCAACCTTTAAGGAACCCTAGTTAGTCCTTACTTATATACATCCAACCATGCGTCAATTTAATTAAAAACAGATGCTTTCAGGCTCACCTTGTACTATAAACGTATTAACAATAAGTTCCTACAAATTTTTCAGCTGGCAATGCGTTATGCTTACAGTAAGCTTGCTATTACCGTACTATGCATTTCTCCTTGACATATGCCATGATGCATCAAGAGTAGACGAAGCTGTTGAACAAAGCACATTGCCTCCAAAGCCGTTGAGAAATCTGGTTCACTAACAACCTCCACCAATGGGGCACCTATAAGAAGCACTAATGTTCAAAGAAACGATCCGGATGGATATCAAGATGAAACGAGCTTGATTGCGTCTAATAGGGGCATAGCACCACTGGACAGATGAATTTCTGTTACAAGTTACTATCATCAAAAAGCTTGAGCTTCACTCGAACCAACTATATCAGAACAAAACCCACCAACTTTATTCCGCGATTCTCTTACAGGCCTGGAGCGAAAAGCGTCATGAACAAATTCATACCTGCACGATTGAGATCAATAAGAGATGACTGCCCGAAATGAATTGTTTTTCCGCTGTCCTGTTCAAGTTGCAACTGAGTGATCCGGACCTGCAAAATGATAGAGAGTGGTCTTTCTAATACTGCGCAACTCCCAGCAAGTGAGGAATTTATGTCGTTTGAAAATTTAGGTTGAAAGAACCTGAAAACGGTGCCACAAAGCTCGCTGTCACTATATTTCCCATTTTTGCCTTGAACCGATTGGACAGTGAGAACTTGACTAAACTCAGTCTTCCGAGTTAGAGTTATTTTAGCCTACTCGGCTTCTTTCCTAGATGAGGGTGATTCTGTGGTCTCCACAGAACAAGCCTGGACTGCCGCAGTCGCTGCTATTTCATCTTTAGCTTCAGACCTCTTCGTTTCTGGTCCGTTCCAGCCGCACCGACCACAGGCCTATCTGAGCACCATCATTTTAGCGGGGTGAAGCTGTCTTTCACGCTTTTTCTAACGACCCATTACTCGCTGTACCTTTCCTTTGAGCGTCCTGAAGCGGAGAAGCATATAACGGTTACATAGGACACCGCTAGTCCCCTCCACTTCATCCGTGCCGCGTTTATTCGAGCTTTTACAGTTTGGTCCACGCACGCACCATAAGCGGATACATCACTTCTTAAGATTCTTTCGTTCGCTTCTCCAAGGTCGCCTACGATGGCTTCGTGCACTCTTGAGCTGAGGAACTCGGTCTTCTTAATGCTCAGCCAGCGTCCATTGTCCACGCTCCATTTCTGCAGCTTGTCCTGGTTTCTTCTGTGCCCTCCGCTGTCATCAGCGTAGAGGATGGTCTCCAGTGGTCCATCCAAAGGTCTTCTTTGATGAAGGGTGAGGAACCCTGCTATCCTGCCTACGCTCTAGTCCGATACTATATCAATATGTATTCTAGATAATGATCAGCTCGTGAATAGCCTTTCGTTCCGAAAAATCAATACACGTGCATACATCATCAGTCCGGCTGATTTTCGGTCGTAGCCGGGCCTCTCACTCGCTATTCCTTTTCCTTTCTTTGAAACATATGCTTGAAATTTTCTACGGGCCTTGAAGTAAGAACCGTAGCAGAAGGTACAATATTCAGGAAACCGAGTTAAAACACCTACAGCGCACTCATACGCAAAGTTGAACGCTGAGTTGCTCAAGACAAAAAAAATGCTCTAAATATGTTGGCGATCGAGTCAGTGATCATTTTTTACTACTTAATAGTACAAACCATAAAAATGGTGGAAACCATCGCTAACCTCTTTGTTGTATGATGGGATATCCTCGCTGTACACCGAGTATGTAAACCTTCCGTTTCGAGCCACAGGCTGATCACTCTGCGTTATTTGATATCTATAATATGTAAAAAAAGTATGCAAACCAAACCACTTAGAGAAAACAGTAAGTGCCAAGGAAGAGAGAAAGGTTCAATTGTACCCTCCACAAAAGTAATACCCACCCAGCTGGCATATCGGCATAGAAGTAGTGTTTCCTGTCAAATCTGCAGTACGGTGGGATTTCACAATTCAAAAGCACAGCCATTCGTAGAGCATGCTGAAAATAATGAATCTCGGACACATACGTCTTCCTACTGAGAACTACTAACCACATTTCCTCACCATCACACAGCTTTTATTAAGCATTGGCAATGTACCCGGTGTGGCCATGTCGAAAGCAGCAACTTGACTGTTCGGAGGAGCATCACTATCGCAAGGTGCTCGTGAAAATAATTTGGATTTTGTGTTCAGCTGAACATGAACCTGAAATTATTGCTATCAAACGCAAACAACAAATGCGAACTAGTGGATAAAGAGCTCAATTCCGCTATGCTTTTTGAGATATGTTATGGCAAATATTTAGATTTGTTTGAGAGTAGGACTGCGCCCTACTGCTCCATTTCAAGTTATTCCACGGAATCCACAGAACTACATATGCTTATGGAAGCAGTCCGAGGAAATAAAAGAAATCATGCGTGATATCGACGTTTTGATACCTCCCCCCCCCCCCCCCCNTCCCCCCCCCCCCCCCCCCCCGTTTCCCCGAATGCAACAAATAAATCCTATTTTTGAACCTACCGGCACTTTACAATCCCCATGCAACCTCACCTCTAGCCCTATCACCGGTTGAAACTCTTCGCGAGAAAGTTGAGCGAGTTTCGAAAGCTTGCGCCTCAAAACTCGCCATGGTAATGGTCGTAGAGCCACTCTCATCAAAGCGCAGCTGAAAAATAATTGAGACCACTCGACAAGGATCAAATCCAGTACAGAAACATTTCATACCGTAACCCTACTATTTCTTCGCACTACAGCTAGACGAATAACACGTGTTCTATGATATTTCGAGAGCAGCTGCAGTGTGGACAAATAGTTTGGGGTGCAACACGAATTTGGGTCCTCAATTAATTATCGTTCACTACACTTCGCTAGGGCAGGTAGAAACCGCTTCCAGAAAACCACGAGGCAGATATCCATTCAATCCTTCCATGAGAATCGTGACACTCTATCATAAAACTTTTATATTTGAACAACATCTGGTGAAACAATTGCATTCCAAACACACGAGACAGTAAAACACGGAACAGATCCTGTCTTTGTGAGAAGAAGGCAAAAAAATCACTGGAAAAACACACCCATGCAAAATCGATAGGAGCGTAACAATCACATGCAAAAAAAAACTTCGCAACAATGCCAATCTTCGCAAGGACGAATATTAAGGCAAACAACATAAATAATATTAATTAACAGATAAAATTGTGTTGATCGGTTCAAGTGCCATATCGGCGTTTTTCACGACTCGGCGCAATGCCGGTTGCAACTCGTTTAGAACCATTTTCGCTGCTCCTTCGACGGATTGTAGGTATTTCTGAAATTTCATAATGAGTTACTGTCATGCCAGAGAAGAACATTATGGGTGATCCTAGAATCGCTCCCTATCTTTGATAAATAAATGGACGTCGAACCCGTTAGTAGAGTATCATATGCTTATATGTTTCATACCAGGGTATTTTCGCCATAGTTTCTTCAAAATGTGTAGGTTATTCCAAATATATCCGACCGTTAACTCAAAAAATAGTCAACCGCTTTCACGGAATTCGATTTTTTCCGAACAGGAGAAGGGGTAGTATCCCCTGCCTTGAGAGATGATCGTCAGGTCACTATCGAAATCTAAATCCCATTCTAATCGAGTTCCTTACCAATCAGCATTACCCGAACTGTCAAACGACTGTCAATAAGCTGCCGCTCCAAGGAAAAGTATGTTTTTCACATGCTCGGTTAGCTCAAGAAGTATGATGCTTAAAAAAGTTGCACATTCAAAAACACATTGATAATGTTCAAAACGAACGTTGAAGCCGTCTTGGCCTTCTGCGAAGTGGAATGCGTACACCAACGCGAGTTCAGACGCCGACCGAACAGCTGAGTTGCTCTCCTTTGCACCATTCGCCAAATGTGGGACGATTAACTGAAATTTATACCTCCTTTCGAGATTAAGGGAATTCCATTTAAAAAAGGTTTTACCTTCAGAAGTTCGCTATCAAGTTGTTCAGGAGACGAATGGAGTACATGACCAAGTACAGCCGCAGCAACCCGTCGCACTTCAACTGACTGATGGCTAAGTGAACGCCCCACAGCGGCTAACAAATCCCGATCGACGCCTGGGGTTTGACTGAAACCGATCAAATAGAATTCGCAGAAAATTAGCACATGTTAAACTGCAATTGAAATAAGTTCGGAAGAAAGCGACGGGGCTGAAAAAAAAAGCCGAAAAATAGTAAGGAATGCAGGACCTGATAAGAATGTGTGCTGCAGCACGCAGTGCAGCACAAGCAACAGGAGTTTCAGCGCTCAATGCCGCCATTAGAGCTGATCGGCACGCGCTTTCCGCTTCTGTCCAGACCGTGGTCGAGTCAGTCTGGAATGGAGTCGGAAGTGCGGGACGCTCAGTCATTCGGAAAAATCTTCAATTAACAACGTTCACCTGACACATCTGCTGTAGTGCGATGGCCATCGCCTGGCGCACTCGTGGCTTTGAGCAATTTTCTACATCTGAAACACCAACATTTCAAGAATCCCGTCGAAAGCTTACTAGCGCAGAACAGATTGGGCGCTGATTATTTTAACCATTCAGCTGAACTGACCTCGGAAAATGTTCTTCGAGCTAAATTCCTTTGTTCTTATCGCCAGCTCCCCATACAGTGCTCCACTGCATACAGTGAGCGACGTGTCGAGCTCAGTTGGTGTATCTAGTGGCACCTCAAAAAAAAGGAGTTTAACTTTCGAAAAAAATTAACTGGAAATGATAAAACATACCGTGTACTGCAGTTCGCACACCCGATAACCTTCCTGGATAGTTGCTTCTGAGAGTGGATTAGCAATTTTGCCCACCAGCGCACGTGCAGCGACAAATGTCGTCTCTCTGACATGATCATTCATTCAGAAAATAACTCTAAGTTTTCCTGATATTTCCTCTCGTAAACGAGAAGCATACACGGCAATTTGCGCCACTGCCCCACGCCTTTTATGTGGATTCTGTTTTGGTGCTGATCATACCGTAGTAATCTTCCCCGAAAGGTCAGTTGGTTCTCACAAGACTTGTCTGGAAGACATGAAGGCGGGCTAGTTTGTATTAAATTATTTAGCTCACCAAAGTGAATTCAACGATTGTAATTACTACATATCAACTTTTAGGCCAACTCTTCAAACCATTACATTTACATTTTATGGCAAAGTATTGAGTTATAAGGTTGTAAGTACTTACAGGAGCGCTTGATCCTGAGAATGAGCTAGCATTTTCAGAATTTCGGTAACAAGTGGCTCTGGCTTCAGATGAATGCGTAACAAGCGAGCCAGAGCACCTGAAAACAGTAATCGTCGAAGAATCGGTTACATCCGGCGATTGGCAAAATGACATTTGTCAAGCTCACACCTCCAGCCACAAGTCGTACAGGTCGCGACGTTGGATCTTGTAGCGCTTTCAGGAATGTGGATTGCAGCTGAGGGAGGAAAGGACGAAGAAGTGTGTCGACCTTCAAAGAAAAAGATTTTTCTAGAACAATCTTCTGAAGAAACCTTTCGAACACTTCGATGAGTATTAAAACTCACCTTGTCGAGAAGTTTGCTGAGCGTCTCGAGAACTGCCAATTTTACATTAGCTGGATAACGGTCTCCGAGAACCCGAACTAATGGCCCAGTAATATTAACCACATGAGCTTTCAGAGCCGACACATCAGATACAGATACCATCTGACCGAGCGCTTCTCCAGCGAGTGCCTTCAGTTCAACTCCACCTGCAAACGACACTATCATTTTAGAAAAAGGCAACGTATTAGATATCCATTTAAGAGCTGAGATCCATCGATGTTCTGCCATGGATCAGTACGACACACACAACACTGTTCTTTTCCTAATCTCAAGAGCGCGAAGGTGGAAGAAACGGTTCTAAAGGAAAAAATAGGGTGAGTCTTTAGCCCCATTATAGATTGATTCCAAGATTGGTTTCCTGACTGAAGACAGATGAAAAGACGAAATGCGAAGTTCCCGTTTTTTAGTTTTTTTACTAGTGCGCTCAAAGTGGCGTCATCAGAAGTTCAATCAACGTTTGTGAAGCTTTTAATTTAACGTGTCTGTAGCACTCCGATGCAGTTATTCGTTATTTTCATTTTTTTTTTTGCCCTTAAAGACTATTTGCTCAAGACTTTGGTCGACGACTCATGCAACAATTCCGTATTTTTACTATTGTGTCCGGCTTGATTTCCACATACACCAGAATTACTGCACCCATTGTCATTCAGCAGGCGTTCAACAAAAGATACGGAACAAAAACATCGAAAAAGACATAGAAGCAAAGATGTATTAAATGTGATACCAACCTTGTAGTATTGCTTCTCTGAGCATAGGTAGAAGTGGTTGCAGTGCTTTTGGATGGGCAAAACCAGGTATGGGTTTGCCCTTAGATTGAGCAACAATGAAGTTCAAAGCTTTCTTCACAACAGGAATAGCCTCCTTAAAAAGAAATCATCCAGAACTCAAACGAACTCCATACCAAATAGAAAAAGTAAACTGAAACTGAAAGAATACCAGCGGGAAGCAAAGGTAATCATGACGGCTCAGAAGAGCACAATACATAGGTGAACGCTAACGGTAGAAAACAAATCAAAAGTTTAAAAATAAGCCCATTACCGACCTGCATCTCTTTCTGATCCAATGCTTGCGCGACGCCAATAGCCGCGTTAACAGCATGGTCTACAATTTGAGCATTCGGAGACATATACAAATGTAGCAATCCAGGAAGTAAGTCGGCCGTGAGGTAGTTGAGGGATACCTATTCATGGAATATGTTGAAGAAGGCAATTAATAAATATAAATATTGCAATAAAAGTTCCGCTTCAAAACAAAAATGAATTCAGAACATACACCACTCTTAGCGACATAAGTATGAAGCAGAACAATCGCAGGCACATTTCCCTTATTGGCTTGCTTAAGAAGGTAGTCAACAAGGACGGGTATACCTTCGTCGTCAGTTACCGCTATTACCACCTTTTCGCAGCTGTCGATCATCTACAAAATTAGGGACATAAATAGACACACGGTTGGCATAAACAAATCCTTGGAATCACAAGGGCTACCCACCGGATCATATTGGTCGTTCGTTTGACATGCTGATAATAATGCGTCCAGAACTCGGGGAAGTTGTCGTGAGAGCGAGCTTCCTTCAAAACATCGTCATCACAAGTGAAATAAATAAAAATCAGTCTCCAAACGCTCTTCAGAAAAACTCAGCAAATATGAGACATCGTTGCCCTATAGAATTCAATTAGTGCAACGAAAAGAAGATTTTCGCACTTGTTATACATGGGTGCGAAGAGAAATCCTTGTAAAAAAAAGGAAAACTTCATACCTGCAACAGAAGCTAAACTACAAAGAGCATGGACATTGATTGGAGGTCGGGTAAGACGAGGTAGCAAGTATGGCAACATTTGCCTGTAGTGAATATGAAGTATTATCAAGAAGGATCTGGGAAAAACATGAGAATTCATATCGTTACCTGCTGTTCTGTTTCATTATCTCACACAAACCAGCAAGAACGTCTTCCTTTTCAGGAGTTAGTTTTTCAAGCAACGGAGTGATGATCTCATCCAAAGCTTCATGACCAACCATCTGCATTCAGTTTCAAATTATCTCAAGGTTGTCATAGCAATACCAGATGCAATTTCATCACGTTGTGGTAAAAATCCATTAGTAAACGTTTCAAAATGAGCTGTATGAATAAAAGAAAACTGCAATCAAATATTCTGCATACCGGAACGAACCTGATAAAGGACTGAAAACGTGTCGGCAGCCGCCGTTCTAACAACTGGTGAAGGGTCGCAAATGCCATTGCGGACGGGATTGACTAGATTCTCCAAGTAATGACTGAGAACATCCTGAAATTTCGAAGACTAAATTAAAAACTGGTCAGGTTCAATGGGCAACAATATCAAATTGAATGAATCGGGAATCCCACAGTATAGAAGTCTGTTGTCCACTTCCCAAGCTCTAGAAACTATATGGGTAAAACAAAACTTCAAACACAGGGAA